CAGAACCTCCTCGGATGGCTGTCCCAAAACTTGGGGGTGCAGGCCGAGGAGGTCAAGGAGGGTGCGGATCCAATGGTGGGCATAATTACAGCTGATGCCCCAGCAAGGATTGCCCTTCCTCTCAACAAGTCAGTGGCAAAAATTACTAAAAGTCTCTGGCAAACTCCATACCACCGACTCAGAAAGGGGTTGAGAGGTGGTATTCTGTGCCACCATGGGGCATAAGCATCTATTCCTCCATCCATCACCTGTCTCAGTGGTGGTGCAGGCCGCGTACCAAAGGGAGAGGCAGGGACAACTTGGTTCCACCCCTAAGAGTAAAGAACCTAAAAAGCTTGATTTCTTAGCGCGAAAGGCTTATGTGACATCTGGGCTCTAGCTGAGAACTGCAAACCAACAGGCAGTACTCAGCAGGTGCACATACAACCCTTGGGTGGCTGTCAATAAGTTTAAAGCCCAGCTCCTGCAGGGGTCCCAACAGGAATTTGCGGCACTGACAGAGGAAGAAAGGGTGGTCTCCAGGACGGCCCTTCAGGCTGCACTGGACTCAGCAGATTTGGTGGCACAATCTATGGCCACAAGAGCTCGTGGCTTCAGGTCTCTGGCATTCCCCCTGAATTCCAGATGACACTTCAGGATCTGTCCTTTGATAGGTTGGGGCTTTTTTCAGAACAGATTGATAGCAAGCTGCACAGTCTTAAGGATTCTAGGGCAACGTTGAAGTCCCTAGGTATTCATATCCCCGCCCCACAGCATCACTTGCTGAACCTGAGACCGCAGAGGGCGTACCAACAAGGATCCACAGATAGAGAAGTAGGAGGAATAATGCCAGAGGCCCCCAGGAGACACTCTCTTGCTCGGCCTCCGACCAGAACCAAGGGCCCCTGTATAAGTCCCAGGGCCAGAGGTCGGGCTTTTGAAGGTGCGCTCGATGATAAGAGTACCAGCCCCAGTGCTAGATCACCCCTTCTCAGACAGACTCCCCTTTTTATCGCTCTTGGAGTTCTATCACTTAGGACTGGTGGGTCCTCAGTATGGTGGCATGGGGATATTCTATCCCATTCCTCCCATCGCCTCCTTCCCACCCCCCTTCCCTGTCCCTCTTCTGGGACCCCTCTCAGAGTACCTTCTTCATCAGGAGGTGTCTTTGCTCCTGTCTTTGGGGGCGGTAGAAGAAGTTCCATTTGAGTTCAGGGGAAAGGGCTTTTTATTCCTGTTACTTCCTCATTCCAAAGTCTAAAGGGGGCCTTCGCCCCATCCTGGACCTCAACACGGTAGAAGAAGTTCCATTTGAGTTCAGGGGAAAGGGCTTTTTATTCCTGTTACTTCCTCATTCCAAAGTCTAAAGGGGGCCTTCGCCCCATCCTGGACCTCAACACCTTCATAAGGAAATCAAGGTTCAGGATGGTGACGCTAGCCTCCATTATCCCATCACTCGATCTAGGAGACCAATACGCCGCCCTCAATTTGAAGGATGCGTACTTTCACATTTCCATTGTCTCTCACCACAGAAAGTTCCTGCGTTTCTTAGTGTTTGGCTTGTCCACTGCTCCCAGGGTTTTCACCAAATGCATGGCAGTGGTAGTGGCCTTTTTAAAGAGGAAGGGCTTCATGTCTGCCCCTACCTGGATAACTGCACATCAGAGGTTGTTCCAGAGTCCAGGTACTGTTCCATATTGTGTTAGTCAAGCAAATCTTCTCTCAGCTGGGTCTCTTATTAAATTAAACCAAATTGACCCTCATACTCACTCAAGTAATCGAATTTCTGGGCGCAAGGTTAGACGCCATGATGGGGAGGCTCCGTTCAAAGTTCATAAAGGACATTATTCAGTGCCTCCAGACGGCCTTTATGGACCATGGTGAGGCACTGCTTGAGACTACTGGGTCACATGATGGCATGCACTTACGTAGTACAATATGCCAGACTGCACCTCTGATCCCTTCAGGCTTGGGTCTACAGGCCAGCTCGCAATCACATCAGTGCTGTGGTTACCATCCCCCTGGAGGTCCTGTCAACATTGGACTGGTGGCTGAGGGAGAGCGAAGTGTGCTGTGGGGTCCTGTTTACCCAGCTCCCTCCCTCGATGCAGCTGGTGACAGATGCCTCCAATACCTGCTGGGGAGTCCACCTGGCAGACCTACAGACGCAAGGTATGTGGTCCAAGGTGGAGAGGATGTTACATATCAATATCAGAGAGCTGAGGGCGGTTTGTCTGGCCTGCCAGGCATTCCTCCCTCGTCTGAGGGTCAGCTGTGTTTCTGTTCTGATGAACAACACAGCAGCGATGTATTATATCAACCAACAGGGTAGAGCTCGTTTCTGTAGGGGCTACCTTCTTCCCGGGGGGCCTGCAATACCCTAGCGGACCGCCTCATCAGGGCCTTCTCAGCACACAAGTGATCTCTCAAGGAAGACGTGGTTCACCTTCTTTTCCACAGGTGGCAGACTCCCCTCCTAGACCTTTTTGCATCTGTCCAACAAGAAGTGTCCCCGGTTCTGTTCATACCGAGGGCATGGTCCAGGGTTGTTGGGGGATGCCCTAGCGATGCAGTGGCCAGTGGGCCTCCGATACACCTTCCTTCCCCCCTCCCATCCCTGTTCATGATGTGTTCCTGAGGGCCAAGAGGTACAAAGCAATGTTGATTCTCATAGCCCCAGCATGGCCCCACCAACACTATCAGTGGAGGACCCCGTTGCCCTCCTGCTTGTACCGGACCCATTGATGCAAGAGCTCAGCCAGGGCCTTCTATGTCACCCGAACCTACAGTCCCTCCACCTCACAGCTTGGAGGATCCATGGCTGTGTGGGGCAGGGCTCCTTTGTTCAGATCCTGTGAGGTGGGTGCTGATGGAGAGTAGGAAACCCTCCACCAGGGTGACCTATCAGGCCAAATGGAAGAGGTTTTCAGCTTGGGTTGTTCAGAAAGGTGGGGACCCTGTGTGAGCCCCATCCCCCTAATCTTAGACTACCTCCTTGGCCTCAGGCAACAAGGATTGTCCACCTCAGTGAGGGTACACCTAGCGGCCATTGCGGCCTTTCACCAGTGACAAGGAGGGGACCCACGCCATATCATCAAGCATTTTCTGAAGGGTTTGAATAGGTTTTATCCACAGGTTAGGCAGCCTATTCCCTAGTGAGAACTAAACTTGGTGCTCCGGGGACTCGTGGGCCCCATTTGAGCCATTGGCTACATGTTCTCTCTCTCACCTATCTTTTTTAGTGGCTATCTTCTCAGCTAGGAGGGTATCTGAGTTGCGAGCTCTCTTTGGAGTTGCAATATATGGTGTTTTCTAAGGACAAGGTGATTCTATGTCCGTACTCCACCTTTCTACCTGAAGTAGGGTCCCTGTTCCTATGTCTCAGGAGATTTTTCTGCCGTTTTTTTTTAATCTGAAGCCGCATGCAGATATGTGAGAGCACGCACTCCACACACTAGACTTTAGAAGGGCTCTTGCCTTTGATTTAGAAAGAACGAGACAGTTTCGTAGATCCACTCTGCTCTTCTTCTCTATAGCAGACAGAAAGAATGGGCTTCCAGTGTCAGCTAAGTGCCTGTCCTCATGGATCGCAGCATGCATCAGGGCATTCTATGTAAAGGGGAAATCGGTTCCACGTCTCACGGCCCACTCTACCCAGGCCTCCTCGATGGCATTCCTAGCCCAGGTGCCAATCATAGACATTTGTAGAGCGGCCACATGGTCTTCAGTCCATACTTACACCAACCATTACACAATTACGCAACAGGCTAGACAGGACGTAGCTGCTGGTAGGGCAGTGCTGCCATCTGATTCCTCTTACCTTCCTCCGTGGGTATGGCTTGGGAGTCACCTAAATGGAATGGACATAAGCAAGCACTTGAAGAAGAAAAGACAGTTACTTACCTCGTAACTGTTGTTCTTCGAAGTGTTGCTTATGTCCATTCCAATCCTGTCCACCTCCCCTTTGTCAGAATGTTCAGCAAGAAGAAACTGAGGGGGTTGGGGACCATCAGGGGAATATGTGCACAGCTATACCGGCGCCACTCCAGGGGCTCCCCTGCTGGCCCAACAGGTACTGCTAAAAAGCTTCCAGGACTCATGCATGCAGCGCGTGCACACACCTAAGCAGAATGGACCTAAGCAATAGATCTCAAAGAACAGCAGTTACGAGGTAAATAACTCTCTTCTCCAAAAGCTATTCCTGGGGTTCACCCATCAAAGCAGAACTATGAGAATTACTGACATTGTTTTGGAGGACAGGCTATTTTACACACAAGTTGGAGGGGAAACCCTATCCTAGACCGGTTTCCCCTCCAACCTGTGTAAAATCCAGATTCTGAATGGAGGTCCTTCCCCTGCTTTATTCAAGAAATCTCTCTTTTGCCCTACAGCCACCACATGGAAAATCAATACATTCTGTGCCCATTGAACCTGAAAGACGTACGTGTGTGTGCGTGCGACTGAATGCCAGCTAATGACAAAATCTTTCATTTTTGTAGAAACTTAAGTACCTTTCCAGTATATATGTTCCCTTCATTCCAAAAGTCTCTGGGATCTTTGCCAAGCATTGGGATAACCATAGTGCTTAAGAGGGAGGGGATTTTAATTTTTCACTACCTGTATGATCTTATGTTCAATCCATATACTATTTAAACACTGAAATTGTCTCACCTTGTGATTTTTTTAATGTCCCTTGCCACTGCTGCATTAGACAGGCCTTTGCAATAAACATCTGCTATTCTTAGTACGTTACATGTGACTTACCTGCAACATGGGAGTAAAATATAATAGTGTATTTCATTGTATTAATTTTAAGCATGCTCCCTTTATAAGCTCTTTACTGATTGTGGCCCTGAGGTCCAAAGCCCTCAGCACAATTGGTAGCCCATTTCAAGTTAGGTCACTGCAAACCATGACTCTGTTCCAGTTATGAAACATGCTCCTGTCGGCTACAACTTTCAAAGATTCATTTAGTTTTGAGAAGGGTTGCTAAAGTAATAACACGTTTGTGTTTTGTTTAGGGCACTGCAACAACATTCATTGCTTGGCCAAAGCTATCAACCAGATTGCTGCAGCTTTATTTACCATCCACAAGGGAAGCATCGAAGACCGCCTTAAAGAATTTTTGGCTGTACGTACAGTTTGATAATCAGAGTTGATTGCTATAAAACTCAGCCTCAAATCAAAACAAAACTTATCTCTGTTGCAACTCAAACTGTTTTAGATGTAAAGTGGTCACCATTAAAGCCTTCAACAAATTAATCATTAGGGTTGGGTGAAAAATTTGGGGTGAAAATTTTGGGGGTGAATGATTTCATTACCAAAAATGCCAGTTTGGTGCATTTGTAACCAAATCGTCCCAATAGTTGTAGATGGAAAACAGTTGTTCAGAGTCAGTGGGGGTGGGGGGAGTTTGCACCCTGCATCTCCTCCTCTCCCCCTCCCCCCCCATCAACTTCAGTCAAGTGCCTAAGGCACTGGGATCTCAGAGATGCAGGTTTGAATTGCCATTCTGGAGCAGGGATTTTAAATCAGATTTCCCACATCCCAGGTAAGCATCCTAACCACTAGACTATAGGCTAATCACCTCCAAGGTGAATGCCTTAATAACTAGGCTAGAATCATCCTCACATTCTCTTTGGGGCAATGGCTATTTAAAAATTTGTACAAAATGGAACAGTTTCCACAGGATTAATTGAGAGCAACATGTAGCTTGAGGGAGAGATTTTTGTCTCTGCTCCAGAGTGGGAATTCACACGGGGGTGTTCCAGATCCTGAGCAAAGTACCTAACCTTTGGGCCAAAGATTATTAAGGTACTCCTATGTACATGGGTGTATGTTTGCTGGTCCTGAAATTAACTTTTCCAATTTGCTGACAAATTTCATATGTTTTAGGAATCAAAACTAGTTCTCCCTGACTTTTCAATTTGCTGCCAAACAAAACAAAATTCATTTTTTGCCCAGCTTTGCTAGTCATAAGTATTTCTTGAAGAGCTAAATCTTTCTATTGAATTTTGTGTTAAGAGTAGGTGGTTGTACTTTATTCTTAAGAACTTAATTTCTGATTTAGCATTCTTCAGATATTTTAAAAATTCAGATAGAAAATGTAATTTTAAGGAATTAACTGCTTTACTCTATCTTATATTTAAACTAGTTATAAATTGTCTTAATTTTGATACACAGAATGCAAATGTATATTACAAAGACTTAGATATTTATGGATTAAATGTATAATATTACAAGAGGTGGGTAAACATAGGTCAGTGGATAGTAAAACATGAGCCTAAAATTCTTGAAGCATTTTTGTGGTGTAATATTTGTGCTTGAATGTAGAATGTGCATGTTAATATATGTTAAAAATAGAATACGTGATCTCTTATATTGTAATGCAAGATTGGAAAGAGTTACGTATATTGTTTGGGAAATCTGTGTTTAGATTTGGTTTGCAGCTTCCTCTTATTCTAACTTAAAGGAAGGTCAAGTTATGGTTGTGCCAAGAAAATGGAAAGTGGCAGGAATGATACCGTGTACCATAACATGGAAAGGGAGGAGGCAGGAGGGACAGAAAGAGGAGGGACATGATATTGAGAGTGGCCCCTGGGGGCAGTGAGCGCAAGGGAGAGGTATATGTACTGTGGCCACTAAGAGGCAGCCACACCACCAAGAGAGTGCTTGGGGCTGTGCTATCTTGCCTTCCCCAAGACCAGGTAAGGAGCCTCCCTACCCCCAACTCTTCCACCCACCCTCTGCTGGCCCTTGGCTACAGCACCAGAAGGGACAGGAAGGCCTGTGCTGGCTGGGAAGAGACAGAAGGCCCATGGTGGTCTCCTGCTAGATGGGAGACCTCCCCCCCGCCACCCTGAGATTCTCGTTCCCCAACCCTCGCTCTCCCATGCCCCCATCCTCCCACACACACATATACTCAAGGCTCTGCCCCGAAGGACCCGGGCAGTGTCAGGTTAAGTCTTTTAGCTAAACTTATTTTTGTGTGAATTTGGGAAGGTGGGAATTTGTCTTTATCTTCAGCAGTTAGAAGTGTACAGTGAGCAGTGCTTTTTGCAAAAGATTTCTCACTTCAGGTAATGCATTGTTACTTTGTGGAAGAAAAAATCATCTTAATCCCTTGATTTGGCTAATTTTGTTTGCTACAACTTCTGGTAGCAAAAGTTTTGTGTAATATAAAAATATTTTTCATGCAAGTATTTCATTTTTGATCATGTATATTCTTTGACTGCTGAGAATATAATTAAAAAATGGTAGTCACTGACATTTAATTCAATTTGGTGTAATCCAGTTTCTTTCAATAGTTTTTTTTCGTGGTTAGCCTGAGAATTGTCTTCTGATTAAAGAAATGTACTAAATAACCTAATTGCTCTTTACTCATTGAAATTAAGTATAGGGATCTTCTAAAAAATATTTTGAAATGTGAATACTATCACCTTAGATTAAAAATAGACATTTTTTTCCTTCTGGCAAGTTATTTCAAATTTTTTTTTTTTTTTGTCCTTAAGAATATTTTAAAGTGAAATTTCCCAACTCAGAAACTTAGATTTGTGAACAGGTACTAGACATGGGGCTGCTACGTCATTGGCATGAAGTAAAAATTCTGTTTCTGGAAGCTGATCAAATATTTTTATTTGTGTATTCTACAGTTCATTAAGATAAAATTATCAGTTCATTTATTTTCAAAATGATGTATTGCAAGATCAGGGCCACAGATTTCAAAGACTAAAGCAGATGTTTTCATTTTTGTGGTATCTGGGTCTTTATTGCTAAAACAAGTTGTTTGGTTTGCCTACACATTAGCTAGCAATTGTGATGAAGTAATAATGTATACATTCTTTAATTATAGGTAGTATTAGAATTTGACCTTTTGCAGAAAGTGTGCTTGTAATTTAATCATGGTACTTCCTTTCTATTTTGTTGTGCTAATAACCTACAACAGTAAAGGAGATTATTCTTCCCATCAATTAAATTAAATGAAAGTAGCAAAAACTGATCAACTTAAAATACAACGACATTTTACAATGTTTATTGTTTTTCAATCATTTTTTGTAGCTTGCATCATCTAGCCTACTGAAAATTGGTCAGGAGACAGACAAAACTACTACAAGGAACAGAGAATCTGTTTATTTACTGTTAGACATGGTAAGTTCTCATGCTAAGTCCCTTTTGACAGATACCCTTGCTGTTGTAACTCATCAACCAATAGAAATACTTTCTGACATCATGACAATAGGATGACATTAAGAACTGAAGTTCTTTTGATTTTTTTTTTCTCCCATCTCTCTACACAAGTATTTTTTTACTATTGAGTATTATCTTTCTCTGTGTTGCCTAGAAATGCCAGACAAGATTATAGCGGTAGTCAAGTAACTTTCACAATTGAATAATGGATTCAGCTCTATATTGATGTCACATTAAATTAGTGCAAATTAAACTAAGAAGATAACTCATGAGAGTCTGTTCTGAGCATTGCTTTTAGTGTCCAAAGCCTGTTTAAAATACTTGCAACTAAGTTTGAAAAGCTTTCTATCTGTTAGCTTAAACTCTGTACTTGAAAGTACTTTGTGGGATGACCATTCTGCAGAATTTACCTTTTCACTCTTTAGCCAAAAATATAAATTCTGTTCTAGTGTAGGCTGATAGTAATCAAATGTGGTAGATGAGTCTCAAATCTTGATAGTTTAATTTTGTGCATTAAGGAAGCTTGATACATTCTTGTTCTTTTTCAGATTGTGCAGGAGTCTCCATTCCTTACAATGGATCTCTTGGAGTCTTGTTTCCCTTATGTCTTGTTGCGAAATGCATACCATGCTGTCTACAAACAAAGTGTCACATCTTCTGCATAAATATCTACATACTGAAGACTTAGCACGCATCTATGTTGCCTCAGTTTTACCTGTAAACTGTGGAGCTATTTTACTTTATGGCCTGACAAACAGTTTTGTGGATTATAAACTTTCTTCCATACAGTTGTATTTCTGATCAGTGGTTTCTTAATATGGTTGTACTACAATATGAGCTTGATTGATTTTAGGTTGCACATTCATGAAAATACTCCTTTTTTATTTTTAGAGTATTGGTTATCTTTAAAAGAAAAACACTACTTCTGCTATATGTTTTTGATATTTGATCATGCAAAACCATAATTGCGTGTTTATTTCCAAGAAGAAAAATGTATTTAGTGATTATTTTAGATAGTGTTCTAGTTTTCATCTGTGTGTAAATTATTTCATATAGGGAAAGTTATAATCTGTACCTATTGTTCTTATTGAAAACAAGAATTGGATGTGCATTTCTGTGAAGTAATTACAGCATTTCTACTTTCCTTTATTTTGAAACATTCGCCAAACTAAATACTATGACACTATAGAACATTAAAAATGCTATAGGACTGTTTATCCCCCGACAGCAGTCCTCTCCCAATATTCTTAAACAGCACGTGATGTTGTTTGTATAAAGCAAAGTGGGAAAAATTTTTAGACTATCTTCCATGGTGCCCTGTTGGCATTAACACTACCATTGTACCCTGCTGTATAATAAACATTCTTACACATTTATCAGATGTTGATAAAAATGTTAGCCCTTAACCACTTTTTATATGTTTTAAAATTTTTGAAATTCAAGTGTACCTTCCATAACATACAATAAACACTAGACTGTATTACATGTTGGTGATTATTTTTTTTGTAGTGTAAAATTACAATTTAAAATGTTAATTTATCCTAACACATTAAGTTTTAACACTGATCTTGTACATTGGTTTGCAGGTCAGTTGATTAAACCCTTAATCCTTCCATGTGAAGATTTTGTAATATCCAGCTTTGTATGGAACTCCACATATAGACAACTTATAAAACTTCACAGGAAGGAATTTTAAAAATACACATGAAACATCCGTTGAATGCCACAGACCTTCAACTTCTCATTTTACAGTGTACAGTAAACTTCTGATAATCCAGCACCTTTTATGACCCAGGGTGTGCTGGATTATTAGATATGACGGATTATCAGAAGGGGGGGCTATGAGGGATCTGGGGTGGGGTGGGGGGGATGCCACTCCAGACCCCTCATAGCCCCCCCTTCCGATAGTCCGGCTCTGCCCCAGGCGTCTCCCATTCAGCCGCTGCTGGTCAGTTTCAGCAGTGGCTGAATCAGGGAAGCGGGGCGCAGAGCAGCTCCAATTGTCTGGCTGG